CTTTGTTTTTTGCTTGTTTGTTTGTTTTTGGAGAGGTTTTTGCTATAGGGTGCATGTGCTCACCAGAAAGACAGAGACAGAGACAGAGAGATAGAAAGCGAGAAATCACCACCACCACCACCCGCCCCCCGGGGCAGTGACCAAGCTGCAATCCATTCTCCTCCATTCTTCTCTTGGATCTTGGGCACACACACACAAGCACCCGGCATGAATTTAAGCCACTGAGTCTGGGACTTGAACCACGGTCGACTACATGGGAGTCCAGTGACATAACCATTGTGCCAAGTGCTGGTCCCAAATTATGATTATTTTTATAAATTCCCTATTAGTCATTTTACATGTCTGTGTACATAGACATACCGTATTTATTTTAAATCATAGGAACACTTTTAGATCCTACTTTTCAATTTGCTCTTATTACATGCATTTTCTATCCATCATGCTCTCTAGTAGTGTGATTTTAAAAAAAGATAGTATTTTATTGAATTCATATACTGTAATTTAACCATTCTTGTATCATGGGGCAAATGTAGGTGATTCAGAATATTTTGTAGTTTGTAAAAAGCTTTATAACATTTTTTTTTCTTGAAGAGGTTTTTGCTATAGGGCGCGTGTGCTCGCCAGACAGAGACAGAGAGACAGAAAGTGAGAAATCACCCCCCGGGGGGATGGTCACGCCGCAATCCCTTCTCCTCCATTCTCCTCTCGGGATCTTGGGCACACACGCACATGCGCCCGGCGTGAGTTCTAAGCCACCGGGTCTGGGACACAAACCGCGGTTGACTACGTGGGAGTCCAGCGACATAGCCATTACACTAACTGCAGGTTCCCAAAAGCTTTATGACAGTTTTTTCCACATTTAAATTATTTACCTAGGAAAATTGTTAATCATGAAATTTCTGAAATCATTTAATAATTTTATAGCTTTTTGATAGTAATTAAGTTCTTTTCCTTAAAGAATTATAATAATATATTTCAGCAATGGGCCAGAGTAACATTATCATTACACTTTTTCTTGTCCTTTTCTTTTTTTAATTGTATCCTTCCTTAAATGTTATTTTTCATCTGGCTTTTCTAAGTTTATTATATTGGGTAGTCTTAGTCACATCAATAAGTATATTTATATATTTTTATCTTTACTTTTTGTTTCGTTTACTATAATGCTCATGTATTCACTGGGATAGACAGTGAGAGAGAGAGAGAAAGAAAGTCAAAGTCCCTCCCCCCAATCGCCTCTCCATTTACTCTCTTGGGATTTGGGGGTGTACACATAGGTGCCCGGCATATTTTTCAAGCTCCCAGGTCCGGGACTCAAACTGCACAACTAGCTAGCCATGTAAGATCCAGCCACCTTTACCCCCACCCCACCTGTAGGCCACCTATACCATGTTTTTTTTCTTTTTTAAGTATTTACTTCTTCACAGTGGAGACAGGGAGCAACTCCAACAGGGTCTTCATGCCCCAGTACCGCTAGCCTCCAGCCTGAGTTAGCCCAGATCAGAGGAACACATATGGGCACACAGTGATTTTTCTTTTTTCTTAATTTTTTTTTTTTTTCTGAAACATTCATGATAGAGAGGGCCAGCAGGTGGCGTGGTAGTTAAGGTGCTGGATTCCCACATGACTGACCACAGTTCTAGTCACAAATCCTACGCCTTGAAAATCATGCTTGGCACATGCATGGGTATGCCAAAAGTCCCAAGAGGGTAATGGAGAAGGAATTGCAGCATGGCCATCTTCTTGGGGGATGATTTCTCACTTTTCCTCTCTCTCTCTCTCTCTCTGGCAAATGCATGCATCCTATAGCAAAAATGGGTTAAAAAAAAAATCCTGATAGAGTGCATAAGTGTGTTCTGGCAAATGCATGCCTCCTATAGCAAAAATGGGTTAAAAAAAAATCCTGATAGAGTTCATAAGTGTGGGTGTGAGAGAGAGAGGGAGAGACCCGTCATAGGGTCTGGTCACACTGCAATGTCCTCTCTCCAGGCCTCTCTCGTTCATCTGATCTTGAGCATCATACACATTCCTGGTGTGTTTCAGGCTAAACCACAGTCACCATGCAGGATCCGGTTTCTCTTAACCGCACAGTACCCCTGCACCACGGAGCCAGCCCCATTTCATTACCATTTTTGATGGCTGTAGAGTATTACGTTATATGAAACTATCACACTTACTGAATCTGTTGCCTGTGGTGAAAAAATGTAAACTACTCGTATGATTCTTATTATGTGGTTTGTCTGGGCCTAGTGAGAGTGAAACAAACACTTCTTCCTTTAACATGTTTTGTTAACTGCAGCATCTGAAGTTTCCTGTCTTGAAGGAGTTCTTAAGGCTGGTCAATGATTTCAAGGCTTTATTTTGCCTTTTGTTAGATGGTAAAGACAATACTGAGGTTAATACTCAAGGAGGGAAGCTCAAGGTACAAATGCTTCCCTTGAAGTGTGACTTACTCAGGAGTGTATAGTTTCTCAGACATTCCTTTTTTTCTGATTCCAGGTGCTAAGGTTTCATACTCTTTGCCCTAAACAGAGATTGTGTGTGTGTGTGTGTGTGTGTGAGTGTGTATAGATAAAGGTATTAAATGTTTTAAGTAATAATAATACTAACAGGGGCCAGTCAGTGACATGGTACTTAAGGTGGCTGGATCCCAAGTAGATAACTGTGTGGTTCAAGTTCCAGACCTGGTGTCTTGAAGATCACACAGGGCTCATGTTCATGTGTGCCCAAAACCCCAAGAGAAGAATGGAGAAGAAGGGATTGTGGTATGGCCATCTCCCCTATAGGGATCTTTTCCGTCTCTCTCTTTCTCTGTTTGTGCATGTGTCTATCACTCTCTGATGAGTGGACATGCCCTATAGCAAGGGTGATAAAAGAAAAAGCAATAGCAAACATTTATTGAGGCAGTATTGCATGGTGCTCATTGTACTAGGGGATTTGTGTACATTATGTATTTTATACTCCTCAGATCCTTAAGAGATTGGAGTTTTTCTTTTATTTTTTTCTTAATTGTACTTTCTGATTCACATATAATTGCTGTGCATCTTTACGGGGATAGAGTTTTTTAGGTTTTTGTCATAGGGCCCATGTGCTCTCCAGAGAGAGACAGATAAAGACAGAGGGAAGAAAAGTGATAAATCACCCCCCCCAGGGGGCATGACCATATCATAATCCCTTCTTCATTCTTCTGTTGGGATTTTGGGCATGCACACACACATAGCCAGTGTGATTTTCTTCAAGAGATTTTTTGCTATAGGGCACATGCACTTGCCGAAGACAGGGAGAGACAGAAAGAGAGAAAGTGAGAAATCACCACACAGAGGAGGTGGCCACATTGCAATCCCTTTTCCATTCTCCTCCCGGGATTTTAGGCATGCATACACACACATCCAGTGTGAGTTTCAAGCCTCCAGGTCCGGGACTTGAACTGTACTTGGCCATGTTGGAGTCTGGCACCTTAACCACTACTCCACTTGCTGGCCCCATCCTGGTGTGATTTTTTGAGCCACTGGTTCTGAGACTTGAACTGTCATCAGCCATATAGGAGTCTAGCACCTTAACCACCATGTCACCTATTGACCCTGAGTATGTTTTTTTAAAAACACAGATATAATGTCTAATTATCACATATTAAAGATATCGATGATCTCTAACATGTAGCATTACATTATGTTTTACAAATTAGATTTCATTCTATGTGGATTTTCTTGTTTTTAGGGGAAAGAACATATATTAAATAGTCAGTGACATTTTATTCTGTGCTGTGGTATACAGTTTTATAACCGATTCCACTTGTTATATGGATTCTTGTATCTGTCAGTCATTTTCCCCTGAACCCTTCCACCCATCCCTCATGCAGCTTCTATAGATCGTTGGGAAAGTCATGACGTAGTTTTCTGTTTCTGTGCAAAAATATGTCATGACTTTCCCGACAACCCAATATCATCTATAATTACTTTGTCTACTTTTATGCTATTAAGTATGTTAGCTTCTGCCTAAGAGTGAGCTTTGAAATATAAATAGCACCATAGAAAATAAAAACAAGCTCACAAAGCACCTCCTACTTTTGTAAATGCGTAAGTGGGTCAAACAGTATTGTCACTTCTCTTTTGGCTGTCGCTAGTAAGACAGAGGAAGTTTTAACTTGTTGCTGTGGGAGAGTTGGCAAGATAAGCTATTAAAAGCCATGCTTTGGCAAATTAGGAAGTCTCTTCTGAATTTACAACCAGTGTTCAAACATCTGAAATAATTGTGGGTAGAGCGAGTACCAAAACTATTAGCCGTAGGCCTCATGGGGAACACACAGAGCACTTGGAGAGGAGGGCATGCCAAGGTGAATCAGAAGAAAAGACCGTACAAAGATAACCCCGGAGAAGAATTGAGTTGTCAAACCAACTTGTCTTCTGCCCGCTTGCCCAGAGACTGAGGTGGAGTTCAGTGTTAAAATTCTGGTCCCAATGCTGCCTTCAGTTATGATTGTTATTTCCTAGGTCTTAGAAAAGCTTCCCCCTGATAAAGCTCACCTTTTCTTTAAACAATCACTCATTAGTAAACAGTTGGAGCATCTTCACAGAATTTAGGTGACAGAGAGAGTACTTATTTGGTTAGATTAAGTAATAAACAGAAAAGCAAGTCAAGCACTTTATTTTTAAATGGAGAAATTTGTGAGCCATCAAGATGTGCTGCTGCTTTGCACCACACGTGGTGGCGCTATATTTGGCGTTGATGAGTAGCATGCAGCATAAAATCTCAAAAAAAAAAGAGAAAATAAGCTGCTTGATAAAGATGCCTAGCTGCAATCAAGCCAACTTATCTTAATTCAACTACTAATGATTTAAATCCTGTCACCTCTTGATTTTCAATTATGTGGAGTACCATTCTGTGACTTGATTATATTCACACAGACTCATGTTATAGTTTGCTGCAATTTAGGATACCCCCAAATGTGAACGAAGGGTCTCACTAGGAAACTAAATGTCGTGTGCCTTTTGGTTTTCTCACAGCAGTTCCGCAGAGCATCCTGGGGCCTCCAAGCCTCCGATAAGCTCCTCCAGTATGACATCACGCATCTTGCTACGCCAGCAACTCATGCGTGAGCAGATGCAGGAGCAGGAGCGCAGGGAGCAGCAGCAGAAGCTGCAGGCCGCCCAGTTCATGCAACAGAGAGTGCCTGTGAGTCAGACACCAGCCATAAACGTCAGCGTGCCCACCACCCTTCCCTCTGCCGCCCAGGTGCCGATGGAAGTCCTTAAGGTACGTGAGTGTCGCTTTCATTGGTTGGACCAAGCCCTCTTCCGTTTTCCATTTCCTAGGTGTTTTCTTTATCTAAATGTGTATTTGGTTATATTGACCCATCAGAATCATGTTTGTAAAGGCACCAACTCCATTGATCCCTACCTGATTTTGTATGTTAAAAGAAAGATGTGAACTAACTAGCTGAAATAGAAAACTTCATTAAACGGCGGAAAGGTGTCCATGTTTCACAGGAATCACAAGTAGGAAGAGGCATTTGTTGTAATGACATCTTTTTATCGTTCTTTGGGAAAGTTTCAAGACATAAAAGTGATCTGAATTGGGCTTCTCGTAATAACTTGTATATATTTTTTCTTAAATACATCCTATGACTACTCTTTGATTCTCTTTTTATTTAGTAAAACCTGTTAGCTATAAACATTGATTCTTTTAGAATGCCTCTTCAGATATAAAACTGTAGAAGAGCTTTTAGTGCGCTAATAACCAGACAGCATAATCCTTTTACTGAAGTGAGTTGTGTGCTTTGGGTCTCTTTGATTTTTTGCTAGAGTAGAAACTGCAGGAGCTTGTTAGCATCATCCTATCAGGGACATATAGCTTCCTAATTACTAGAGAATATTGTAACAAGTCTAAGAATAGAATCCCACCTTACTCATGTGTCTTCCACATCAGATAGGGAGATACTCCTTGTTTAAATGAAACATTTCAATTCTTAAGTATGACCCAGGGAAAGTTAAAAATAGGGAAACTTCCTTACTTTTAATTTTTAATTTTTTTTCCCATTCACTGAATTGATTGATTTCAAAGAGTTCCAAATGTTACTGTTCTTTAAACAGTGTGAACTTTACACACCAGTGATTCATTGTTAGTCTTTGCATTCATTCATGTGCTCAGGAAGAACATCTCCCATTATTTAAGGTTTACTATTAACGCCGATAGACAGATGAGGTGTTACAATCAGGAAGTAATGTATGATCCTTAGAGAAAGGATTCCTTAAAAACAAATTTAATGTCAATTTTTAAAAAATTTGCATGGACTTCTAAAATGTAGTGATGAAATCATGGAACTCTTTCGCAGAGAAACTAATAGAAATTCTGCTAGGACAAAAAAGATTCAAACAGTTTCGTATGAAATTTTACAGTAATAGAATTGCGTTAAATTCTGGATATTGCCACAAGTACTGAATCTTTCACTCTTCCCTCCCTCACTCGCTCAAGTAAACGCCGGGCTTTCTCTAAAACAGATTATACATTGAGTTTTTCTTTTCTGCTTGGGTGAAAATTGACAGTCACTATTTATGTGTTTATAGTTTTAAAATTTATTTCAGATTTAAGTTGTCTCGTGTTCATAGAAATTACTGATTTGTCTACATTTTAGGTTATTTCAAGTTGTACAGATTAAATACTCATATAATATTGGGAAATAGCTCCATTTCGTTCATCATAATAGTCTACTTTTTTAATCTGTCTAGCAAATTTTACAAAAGTTGACATGAATTTGGGTTAGTAGTGGTTTACATCCAATTTCCAAGTAATGTTTGATCTGATATTAAAGTTTATTCATTGAGATAAATATCACTATTGGGTTGTCAGAAAGCTCATGATGTATTTTTTCTATGTTTTTCTATCCAAAAATGTGTCATGACTTTTCCGACAACCCAGTATTAAGTAGTTAATCCAATAGTAAGGAAATTACCCAAATGCAAATGTGTTAAAACATAATTTCCATATCATCTTAACAATGGGTAGAACTTCCAAATATTTTTGTTACCTAAATGATTAAAGTTAAAATGTACATTAAATAGTTTTAATAATATGCCCACTTTTCTTTATATGTTGCTGCGTCCTGATTATCATTGATGGAATTACCTGAAGTTCCTAATTTAAGTATGCCAGAAAAATTCCAAATTTAAAGCACAGATAATTTATTAGAACTGGAAGCCTTCATCTAAAAATAAGTAATTGATACATTTATATTTTATGTTAAATATAGTTATCTATAACTTTTGTATTTTTAAACTTTGGTTATATAGCCTATTGATGTGTATCATAAAAATAAAAAAATTGTCATCGCAATATAAATAATTTTGATAGCTATTTACACAAATATTAGAACCCTTAGTGTAGAACTAAATTAGAATATATGATTTCATATAAAGTAATATTTTAAGAAATTCAAACACTGTTTTCAAGAATATCTTATAAATAATTGCTTCAGATACTTAAAGACATTGCACTTTATGTAGTTTATATTTTTAGAAATGTTTTATGTATACAAATATTATGAAATAGTTATTATAAAAAACTAAAGGAGAGAAAGGTGGTCAGTTTTTGTTTTCTTTTTCTCTTTTATAGTTTTTTAAACAAGCATGATTTTATAAAACACAGTTTCAAAGAATGAGTAACAGCAAGTATACTAATTGAATGCACTATGATACCAATTATACTGAATAAATATTTCCTCGTAGTATAGCCTGAGTAAATTCTTCACTTAATTTTTAAAGGTGTAAGTTCTGGAAACAAAGCATATATGCTTCTCAGTCAAGGTAGACATGTACAGTTGGACATGCTAGTGTGTGCTAACGAATCCTGGTTAAATTCCTCTGTCTCCCAACTGATTTGAAAGAACTTGAGAGAAGAAAGGTTATAGTTTAGTTTTCACACGCATACAAATTCAAGTTACTAGCATTCTATTAATACTATCAGTGGGTTGAATGATTTCAGAAAGCTTACATAGTGTTTTCAGGTTAATCCCTTTGGCAGAGTAATAATATGAAGTTTTACAAAGCCTGTTTAAAAATCGTTGACATCTGGTATAAATTAGGACTAGTCAAAATTCATGCAAGAGGTTGGAAATTTGCATCACTCATTTCTCAACACACGGTCATCATTCAGTCTGTAAATTCATGAAGATGGCAGGATTGGTCTCTGATTTCTCCATTGATTTCATTAATTTATAGATTTATTCTCTTCTTGACTTTCATATTGAAATGATGTGCTCTATTACTGTATATTTATATACCTGAGATGGTCTCTGGGTTTCTTACGAGCAACCTTACCCACCAGGTATTATAATTTAAAGATAACTCTTAACAATAAATTAATCAACAGTTGGTACCTAGTACATTTTTCCCAGTAGTGAAGACTTTGATATTCTACATTGTACATTAACCCAAAAAAGTCATTAAAAACCACTAATGGAAGAAGTTTCTTTCACAGGTGGATTTTGTTTGGCCTGTGAGTTATACAAACCTGAGGTTTGACATTCGATGTAGTTTGTTGCAAATAAAAGTGGAATGACCAGGGACAAACCTTTGTAGACAAGTAAGGTCTCCTAGCCAAAGAAGCATCATGATACTAGCCATTGACTTACGGTTCACACACTCATCAAGAACTTGTTTTCATTGTCTTCTCTCTTTCACTGGTTATAGAAGCACCTGGTTGTGCTCTGATCTTGGACTGACAAGTTCCTCAGGCATTTTTTCCCCTGACATTGACTCTTAAGAGTTTATAGATTATAAATATTACTTTATAATTTGAAAGTGTTTCTCTATCCAGGAATTGTAAGAAATTGCCAAGGATTTTCCATCACTACCTTTTTGTTCTCTCTCTCTTTCACCTTGGAATTTAAAATGATAAAGACAAGGTGTTCTCTCTGGAATAGATTGTACATGTAATTTTGCTACGCTGCTTAGGTGAAAGGTTACATGAATTTAAACGAAAGAAAAGACTTTATTCTTTTAGGTCGTTTCATTTTAATTAGTTTGAAGGAATTTACTTAAAAATTTTTCCTTTTTTTTCACATTATCTCATGAGTTTGACAAATTGCTCTGTAATTAGGCATGAGACTTGCTGTTCATCAAATAAAGAAACATTTTGTGCCAAGACCCTCCACACTGAAAAGCAAATTTACTTGGGCATTTATGTGATAGTATGTCACCAATACTGCATTCCCATTTGGATAGTCTAGTAAGCTGGGATGGAAGTTTCGCTTCCTTGACATTTTGTCCTACAAGCAATGTTCCACGAAATTTTACTAGCAAGGGAGATAGCTGGTGACTGAATTGCTGGTCGTTCTCTGTAAATTTTGAAATCTTTCTGGAGTAGAATTCGCAAGGTGCAACTTGTAAATTTTGAAATCTTTCTGGAGTAGAATTCCCAATGTGCAACTTTTTAGATATAATATGGAAACGTGATAAAAGGTGTGTGGAATTACGGTGGGTTGATGGACTACAGATTGACAGATGAGACTTCTCCCACACTCTACATTTAAATCTTGTTCCTGATTTATTTAACCAGGAATATAGATTCTGAACAGAATCATCGTGGCTTGCAAGAAGTGGGGACCTTCCTTGGTCCCATTAGTGACACCCCATTATTAAAGATTCCGTCTCTGTAAGATAAGGACCTACTACATCTAATGTTTCTTCTAATCTCATGGTCACTCATGAGTGGACCATTACATATTATTTCTTCAGTGTGACTTACACAGTCCGAGAGTCTCAATTTCAGGGACCATTTATAAACACTGGCGTCCTTTTGTTTTTGAATTAAACTTGCTGTCTGCAAAGTCATATCCTCATTCAGGGAGAGAAAGGGACTTCGTTTTTAAATGCCAGAATAGCTCTTCATGAAGTCTTCACCAGAGCCTTTATTTTCCTGCAGTCTTTGAATCATTCAGAGTCACATCTAAGGTAATTTTCTTTCTCTTTAAAAACTCATCTTACTGATTTATAAAAATCGCAGACAATGCTTGTTAACTTTTAGCAGTTTTCCATGGCGTGGAAGAAGAACTCAGAAGCAAAATTGTCCTCCCCACACCGCCTCCCTTCCACCCCGCTTTCTGGAGGAAACGACTCTGAGCAGTGTCAGGTGCAGCTTTCCTGAAATTTCCTGTTTTCCAACCCTGTGGTTGCCTTTTGTGGGAGGGAGGTCTGAAGAAACATATTACGTAGTTTTTATCAGGTAGACATAAATCTTATATTTGTGAACATTGCTTC